CATATGTCAGTGCAAAGGACTAAGTTTGATTCCTGGCTTCATTCCCTTTTCAAAAAGGTATCATGGACCTCAATCAGAGCTCGAACGACAAAACTGAAAATTCCCGCTACGTCCCTTCTGCTTCCACTATTTTTATGCATCAAAACCGGATAATAGCCCTATACTGGTTACATGCCTCTTGAAAACATTATTTGGTAGCCCTTTATTGAATGTAACAGCCTCATACTAGTTACATACATCTTTACATATAATAGACGACCTTTTTTCCAGAACAAACCGTCATCTTTATTTCATAATAGACGACCCTTTTTTAAACAAACCATCATCTTTACATATAATAGACAACCTTTTTTTTTTTTTTTTAAAAGGTCGTTTTTACTTCATAATAGACGACCCTTTTTAAAAAAAAAACTGTCATATTTACATATAATAAACGACAGTTCTTTCAAAACAACAATGTCTTTACCAAAAAAAGGACACTTGATTTTTAAAAGACGACTCTTGTCATACCTGCTGTCGTTTTTTTTTTTTTGTCAGATTTTAACTCTGAAGAAAACCTTTTTAATAAGACGACGCTTTTTTATTTGTGTGCGTCGTTATAAAAAAATAAATCAACAGTACCTCCGTTTTTTAGTTGTTTAAGTCACTTATCCACGACGATTTTTTGTTACCGTCGTCTTTTTATATACAACGACGGTTTTTTCTTCTACCGTCGTCTTTTTCTTGTCATCTTTTTCATTTTTTGCAGTAGTGTAGGGGCTTTGCCATTTCAATTTTCTATACTTCCTACCACTGTCTTATTTTATTGCGCCCTCTCATGCTTTTTGATTATTTTATTAAGTATGAGAATCAATTAGGTAGATAATTTTGCTCTAGTTTTTTTTTCTTTCCTGCTCTAGCTTTGTTTTGTGACAATCTATTATCAAAATTGATGTGGCAATGTTCATGTCTAAGTTCACTCTAATTCTTATTTATTTGCATGCAATACCAAACTGACATATGGGGGGTATCGGAACCCAAAGAATCTGACAACCGAACCAAATTGGGTTGAGAAAAAAATAAAGAGTTGACCAAATAAGTCAAACCCAATTCAAAAGATCGAATTGGACTAGTTTTGTTTGGTTCTAGTTTTGATTCTACACCATAAAAAATAAATTGATCCGAACCGAACCGACTATTAATTTTAATTTTTAGTTTTAATATATCCCAATGCTAAATTTAATTTTTCATATGTCATGTAAAAGAGTTATACTGATATTGAAATAAACAAATTGAACTTAAAAACTTGTATTTATGGGTTTAAAGGGATAAGATGAGATAAATGGTATAATTTAGTTATGTTTTTCATTTGATTTTGGCTCGAGGAAATTGGGAGAGAATTTGCATTGATCCCTAAGATATCATAAGTGCCGAAGTGCCCCAAGCAAGCCATAAACTCTTTTAACTCCATGGCCAACCAAAAAAAGTCCAAGTGAATGTATCTGAATATTGTTATTACATCTTATCTGCAATTAGATCTCTCCTACTCAAAGTTTTCACACCACCCTACTCTCCTCACGCAAAATTTTAATTTTAGTTTTTTAATTTGGTATATTATTTTGATGTTGTAATTTTTGTTTAGGTTAGTTGTCATGTGGTTATTGTATGAGATATTTCTTAGAATCAGAGCCGGTCCTAGGTTTTCTAAGGCCCAGGGCAAATTTCTAGAGAGTGCCCTTTTAGACAAATTAAAAACTAAAATTACAAATTTTTTTATCAACAAATTAATTTTATTAGGTAACATTTTTTAATTTTTATAAAAACACGAACAATAACAATAAAACTAATGAACAAAGAATAATAAAATTTGGATTTTGAGAATTTTTTTCTTCAACTCGAAACTTCAAATTTTCAATTATGAAAAACAAGAATCTCTGTTGTTTGCTAAATCAAATAAAAAAGAAAAATAAGTTAACAAAGATATCTCTTACAAAAATCCTATAATACATCTATTTATAAAAAAGAATGACACAAAGAAAAGACCTTCAAATTGCTAAAGCTTCCAATGTGTGTTGCTGTCACTGCCAGGTCTTTTTTTTGGTTAAGGTAAGAACGTTTGTTTGGTTTTTGTTGTTATTAAGAACTCTTTGTTTCCATATGTTTAGTTTCATTAATTTTTGTTTTTTGAAATATTGTATTATATAATTTATATTTAGTTTCCTAGAGAATCTCAAAGAGGTTTGTGCTGCCATGATTAATGATTACGTCTACTTCCTTCTAGGACAGTACTGGTTTTGGTTTTTTTTTAAATTAAAAAAAAAATTAAATGTAATTATATAGGCTAAAAAATCATATTTTTGTGCCCACCACAGTTTTGGGCCCTGGGCTGTGGCCTTGGTCACCCTGGGCCAGGGCCGGCTCTGCTTAAACTGAACAACAATTCTTTGTAGAGATTTTGTAACTTTCTGTTTTGGTTTAAGGTATTTTAGCTGCATTGCATCCATATGGAAATATATGTGCGGTTTATATACATTTCAAGAATTATAAATTAACATCCAAAAAAGAAATTAAGCAAAAATCAAAATTAGGCAAACCAAAATCAATCATAATCACACCCAAAATAAATAAATAAATACACCGGCCGTTTCCTAGGAGGTGAAATTAAAGGAGGTAGAGTCGTCGTGGAGAGTAGAAATATTCAAAGGAGGACCCATGGTCTAAAATATCGATGATGTCAGAAATATCAATAGTTTAAAACATGAAAAAATTTATGGAAATACCGAGATATTATCGATATCGATAAAAATTGAATAAAAACCATGAAAATTGTAAGAAAAACTTGGAAATTTTTATTGAAACTTTGGATAATGTTTATTTAGTCAATTATCTATTAGTTTATCAAAAAAAAAAAAAAAAGAAGGAAATGCATTACATGATGAATTTAACTGATTTAAGTTGATTATACAACGAGCTAGCAAACACTGTGAGTGTAGAAAATATGTAGTAATTAACGAAAAAAAGATTAAACACACCATAATCATTTATATATAATGATTTATTACAACATTTTACTCTTTATACATTGCATAGTAAGATACATGAGTGACTTAGTACCACATAGAGTTCCTATGAGGTTTAAATTTTTCACTATCTTCATCATCTCTATGTGTAGAGTACGTGTATTGTGAAGAGTATTCATCAAATGATAAATCCCCAAAATAGTTTTGCATGTAATTGTTAACATATCACCCATATAAATATAAATATTTTAGCATATTATCACTAAAACATAAGTGATATATGGTGGTTAAGGTGTTGGAGGAGTAAAATAGGAGGGGTTCAAATCCCCTTTGTGTTTTTTTCACAGGAAAGAATCACCTGGGTTGTGGCTTGAAGGTTGTTGATGTAGCATGACGTCACGTAGACGTTAACGCTAATAGAAACCAACAGGAAGAAGCCACGTGGCGCTTCCTGGATGCTCCGATCATGGATTTCTGATAAATCCAACGGACGAGCTTTTTTTGCCTAAAAAATTGCAAAAAAAATTGAAATTGTTTTTAAAACATACCAAAAAATTCTGAAATTCTTTTTCCATACATACTTGCCAATATTATTCACTTTCCACAACAAATCTTCATACAAAATCTTCTCCTTCAAATATTTTTCACTTTCCACACCAAATATTTTTCTCCTAAAAAATTGCAAAAAAATTTGAAATCCGGAATCCAACTCCCCTCAATCTACATGGTTTAGTAAACAACTTCAATAGGAATCCAAAATCCAACTCCTCATAAATTCAATTCCTCCTAATCCAATTTCAGATTAGTAAACATGTTATTAGTGTACTAAATTTGTATTTTTAAACTGATTGCTTTTTCTCTTTCTTAATATACAAGAAACATTGAGGGGATGAGGAAAGGCTTTTTAGTGTATTGGGTTTGAATTTTTAAACTGAAAGCCTATAATTAGGCTACGTTTAAACATATTTTAAATAACATAAAAATATATATTTGATACCTAAACTCATGTCCGAAAATGGCGGATCCAAGAATTTTTCAGGAGAAATGCAATATTTAAAAGGTTAAAAACTAAAACAAATAAAAATAAAAATAGACAACCAATACTATGACTAATTGACTAAGTCTATATCAATTAATATGAACAAAATCCATGACAATTTACATATATTAGTATACCAAAATTCATATTAAATTATCAATTAATCTAACAAACATTAATATTAATTAATCTAATCAAAATGCAAATCAAATTATCAATTAAAAAACTAAATTGGAAAATAATAATAATGAAAGACATTTTTTTTTAATATTAAAAAAAAACAGAAGGAAAAAACCCATAAAAATAATACATTCAAAGTCGAACTTGCAACTTGGTGGCGAAGGATGGGTCTGCATTAGGAAGAGCCTACTCCCCTTCAACGCCACGCCTAAGCCAGGCATCTTTTTTTTGGTAATTAAAATCAAATTAAAGTCTTCTTTCAAGACTCCTCTGCGTGGAAGGTAAGTTTCTTCTTCATCTTGCTTTTTTTTTTTTTTTTTTAAAAAAATATTTGGCATGGTCCAAAACGCATCATTTTGGTCAGGATTAATTTATAATAATAATAAAAAAGAGATGCGCGCAGGGCGCACAGCAAAGAAGAGAAAAGGAAGGTTACTCAGTCATTTGCTCAAACAGTTGGTGGGCACCTGCAAAGGGGCGACATCCGGCGACTCCATAGTTTTTTCCGGCAAGGGGAGGTGGAGCTGCACCTCCTTGCGCCTCTGTGGGTCTGCCAGACCTAACTCTAATGTATCGGAGAGTATACCATGCATATCGTATCCAACGCCGTATCCAACAACCTATTATAATTTATAAATAAGAGTATCCTTGCTTCATAGGTGGATATAAAGAAAAAAGCTAGAACAAGAGGAAACAGTACTGATCGCATATAGACAAAGAAGAAACAAAAAACTTACTCAGCACTAATGTACTGATAGCATGTAGAAGAAGAAGAAAAGAAATACAGAAATATAAGAGAAATAACATTCAGATTCAGAGAAAAGTTCGAGTGTAGGAGTTCTGGTGGCCATAAATCTCCAAACCATACATCTCAGTTTTTGTTTTCTTCTTGGAAATTCCAGCCTGTTTATTCAGCAGCTCCTTTCCTTCTTATCTTATTTATATTTCCTTCTTGTTTGTACAGCTAGCTTCGCTTACATATAGCAAAAACTAGAACAATAAGCCCACCCAGTAAAAATGATGCGGTCGACATGGAGTAGTTGTTGCCAAATTTGCCAATCCCCACACGCTGGCCTTTGTTTGAATCGATTTTATTGCCCTCAATGTTGTAGTTTCGACCCTTCCTTGCATCAAGACCATCAATATGACCTGCATCGTATTTGTTGCCGAAGTCGAAAACCCCAACGTCTGTGCCTTCAGATGAGCTGATTTCATTCCTATGAATCTTCCAGGTCTCACTATTTTCGTTTTGCGAAAGCTCTTGCTCATTTCTCTCTCCAGAATTTTCCTCGGGGCTCCTGTTCAGTTGTTCAGCTTCAGTTCGAGATCCATCTGACATATATGCAAAGATAAAAATGAAAAAGAATCTTCAAACAAGTGAACTTTGGGCAAATACTCCAAAATCTTTCAATAACTGTAAGTTACTACTGTAAAATAATTACATAAATTCCTTAGGCATACACAAATAGAATCATATCAAGGAGAAGATCTTGAATCAAATAAATTTACTTACCTGCCATTGATGAAAGCTGAAAAGAAAGCTTTTCTATCCTCTGTAGAGTTCTTGTGTTCAACCGCCAATACAGACTAGATGTTTTGAATGTGTGTCTGGAATAGAGAATGGATCTCTTTAAAACCAGGAGAAAGGCACTGTTTAAGCCTTCATCGATAAGTTTCAATAAAATAACCAAGTACTTTGTGTGGAGAAGGTTCCAACTTCCATTGACTGAGCAGCTAACTAGACTGCTGACTTGACTGCTGGCAATGCAACTAATAGGGAGGTTTTTCTTTGAAAATGACTCAATAGTTTTTTGAAAACCTAATATTGTTCTTGTTTTTTATTTCAAACCTAGGAACTATATTTACAGATTAACCATAATCCAAACAGAAATTAAGGCAAACCAAATCAATCCTAATCACAAAGAAAAAAAGACGGATAATAGATGCACGGGCGGTATCCTAAAGAAAGCAAGTGTGAAATAGTTTGATAGAACAAGGCAAAATAACAATTCTGGTTGATCCTTATTTCCAGTAGAGCCTCCACCTCCTGTTGCATCTTCAATAGCGAAGTTGTTCAGCTTCATTTGGGTAAAGATAACAATGGATAAAAGCTTGAAATAAATAAGAATAAGAAAGGTGGCCTGGATAATGGATTAGGTGAAACTGCTCATATTAAAACAGAGAATAAGACAAGACAATCTAATTTTTCTCTGGCGCAATGCGTTGAAAAGGTCAGCTAATTGATTTTTTTATTTTTGTGGTCAAATTATACTTCATTGAACCCGCAAAGGGGAAACCTGAAGAACAGACAAAGACTGGGAGATTAGAGCCAAAGACAACCGCTTAGCCAACATGCCAGCACCAAAAATAAAACAAATCAAAAGACAGGTTGAAAAGGTGCACTACTACAATGGTGTAAAACCACCACGCCCATTAGATGACGGTACAAATAAAATCTGTCATGGTTTTTCACAGTTGTTATAAAACCGTCGTGATAAGGTATGAAAAAATAAATTGTGTTGAATTGATTTTAAGCAAGAACTGTCGTGCTTCTATGAGGCGCTAAACGACGTGAAAAATCGTCGTATTTTGACATTCAAAATATATCGACGGTTTTCAAGGCATAAAGACGACAACGAAAATCCGTCATCTATTACGATTTTTGTAGTAGTAGGAGTCCATCAATGACCAGAATATGCTTTATAATATTAGAGACGGTAGTAGCCTATTGGCCCAAGTCTCCACTTCCTTCCACCGCTCGCAAACCAAGCCTTGCAGCTTCAAGGGCCGCCCTAGTTCTCTTCCCAGGACCACTGAACTTCATCAAAAGACCCAGCAAGCCTTTGAGTTTCATGCAGCATCTAATTCCATCTAATTGGAATCAGATTAATTGACCACCCTCCTGATTCCTTCTTGTGCAGCTAATTGATTGGCTGAAACTTTTCATCCCATGCAGGACAAAGGAGAGCCACATGCCCGCTAATGCAAACGAGTGAGACATTTCGAAGTGGCCATTGTTGTGTCCTCCAATCATTCATATATACTTTCATTGTATGATATTATAATCTATCCCAAATGTTAGGGACAGATTATGATTTGTACAAATGATCTGCTAGGGACAGATTATTGCTTTTTACAAAATTTTAAGCAAATAATGTTAGGGATATTAAATTTGTGCTTTAAATTTGAGTCTCAAATGATCTGGCACATGCCACGTAATAAAGTATTAAATAAGAATTCACTTGGATTATGATTTAGTTAATTTCTTTTAAGAAAAAAAAAAAAAAAAAACTTTATACATGCCAACCCTAATATTAATGTATCTTTGCTAGGGGTAAAATCCCCAATTCTATACATATATGTAATGTGAGCCCATGAAATTTTTTGGAATTTTAGTTCAAGCAAATGTGTGGAAATGATGCGATGGACTTGTTCTAGTACTTGTTGCCAAATTTGCCAATCCCAACACCCTCGCCTTTGTTTGAACCGATTCTATTGTCATCAATGTTGTAGTTTCAACCCTTACATGCATGCTTGATGCTCATCTCACACCACGTCCCCTCCACCTTCATTATATTCGTTGTTAAAGTCGAAAATGCCAACGTATTTGCCTTCTTGCGCCATGATTACATTCCTGCGAGGTCTCGTTGCTTTCATTAATAATTTTAGTTATTCTTTTTGGTTCTTAAAAACAAACCGTCTATGAAACATTTAATTGTCCGAAATGAATCTCTAGATTTATAGCTTGTCAAACCCTAAAACGAACTAATTTTATGTTTAAAAGAATTTTGGAATTTCAACATCCATTCCGATTCGGAAAAACTTTAAATTTTCGGAATATTTGGAAAACTACGAAACTTATATACTGCAGAATTTTTTTGGAAAACTTCAGAAAATAATTCAAATTTTAAACATGCTTTAAGCATTTGAAACGTTAAGATTGGCTCAAAATTGAAACCCCAATATATTTCAGAATTCTGAAATTTCATAGTCTTGAGCTGTGTTCCAATTCCAATCCAGTTTTTTCAGAATTTTCGGATTTCAAAACTTTTTTTAATGTCATATTTGATTTAGAAGTGCAAAAATTAGAAATTTTGGAATTGGAATCGGCCGAAATTGAAATTTACAATCCAACCTGCACCTCTAGTAGAAATGAAAACAATAAATGATTTTATGGGGATTGTTCATCTCCTACTACTGGCATGGGTTTTCCACAATCTCTTTTGTGTCATCACTAACAATAATTCTTGGTCATGTTCGTCAAAAAAATTTATTCTTAGTTTCGAATTTTTTAGGATTATCATAGCCTATGGGCCGCCTGATCACATGGGCCTTGCACCTTGGTTACATTCAACCCTACCTAATCCCAACCCTATCACTATAAGAGAGTTGTCGTATGCGTACCCAAAAATGACTCTAACTTGAACAGCCCCTACTTCGCACTTACTTTCCACCATAAGAAATGTGAAGTCTCAAAGTCCAAAATATTCAATAAAAGAAAACAAAAGGAATTTGAGAAATTGTGTTCACACTCATAAATTTGTTTGTAATAAAATGATAAGTAAAATTTTTCTCTTCATAAATGACAACTAAAATTACCACAATGAGGTGAATGGCTTGTATATCAAAAGTAAAAATAAAAGTATATCAATTTTTCGGACACTTGAAAAGTATCATTAAACACAACCTCACACTTTCACTTCACCCATACCTTTAACTCTGTGACTTCTAAATGACATAAATCTACCTAGGTTGTGTGAAAGGAGTACCATGCGGGAACAAATCGTCCAAATATTCACACCACCCTACCACACAACTACTCTCTCATTAGTAAGTTGAATAAAGAACAGAAGTGAGTAAGACTTTTGCTTCATGTGGGTGTGAACCTGTTTAACAATTGCGGTTCATGATAACAATAGAAATTTGATGGGGTTGTTGTTTTTAGTTGTTTATGATTAATAAAGTTTACATAATTAATTAGCATTTGTCGTCATGCGATTACCTTTTTCTATGTCCCATCATGCGAAAGAAACATGAACACCAATAGGAAAAACGAAATTTTTCCACCCATATAAAATACCTTTTGAGTCTTGACTATACTAATCCTAGTTGATTATCAAGACTTTTTTTATTTATTATTTCCATTTTTATACAAGATGGGTCTCCAAATGAAGCTGAATACCTGCACAACAAGGAGATGGCAACAAGTACTACTACTCGAGGAAAGACAAAGCAAGAAGCTCGAGCGAAGAAGAAGGAACGGGCACAAAGCCATGGTATAAGCTTTGGTAAAAGTAGGGATGTGGCTCTTGATCAAAATCATAGAAGGATCAACCCCTAATCAGTAATCTGTGTGTATTTGGATTTATTATTAATTTGCGCAAACAAGAAGAGGAAACTTTCCCGCATTTGAATGCCATGAACATCCGAAAGCTTTATTCTGAGCATGAAAAAGAACTAATAACGAAGAAATCTGACTTATTGATTGCCACAAAACCAGTCCATACATAAATCTAGTTTTTCCTGCCCCATAACATGTGGTAGAGTCTTGACCTGCCCCATAAGATCTAGTTTTTCGCCAACTATTTATTTTTGTTCTTCTCATTCGTGCCATTTTTTTCACTCAAGCCGCTTGCTTCATTTTTTGTTTTGCTTACTCACCATTGATATATAAAAGAGAAAAGAAGAAGCAATAACTAGAAGAACAAGAAGACCAAGAAGACCAAGAAGAAATGGTACGCTCGACTTGTTGTTGTACTTGTTGCCAACTTTGCTAATCCCAACACGCTGGCCTTTGTCTGCATAAAATGTATTGCCACAAATGTTGTGGTTTCGACCCCTCCTTGGTTGATGAACATCAACACCACCTCCACCTTCTTCGTTGTAAGCATCGTGAATCCCAACATCTGTGCTTTCGATTGCGCGGAAATCATTCTCATTAATGTTGAAGGTCTCGTTGGTTTCATCGGTATTTTCTGCCTCACTATTTTCATTTTGCTGGAGCTCTTGTTCAGTTCTTTCTCTTTGGGGCTCTTCTCCAGAAAGTGTTCTGGGACGACCAGGAAAGCGGTTTCTTACCCTCTCCTGAGAGCTCTGGTTCAGTTGTTCAGTTTCAGATCGAGATCGAGACCCATCTTATGTATATGCAAAGATAAAAATGGAAAGATCTTCAAATAAGTGGAAGCAAATACTCTAAAATCAAATGGAAGACAATCTTTCAATAAATGGAAGTTACTACTGTAAACTAATTACATAAATTCCTTAAACCCTATACACACATAGAATCACATCAAGGAAAAGATCTTGAATCAAATAAAAATATTACTCAGAATATATAGTACTTACCTGCCATTGATGAAAGCTCAAAAGAAAAGTCTTCTATTCTCTGTAGAGTTCTTATGTTCAATTAGCAATAGGGACTAGAAGTTTTTTAAAGTGTGTTTACCTGCCATCTTATATATATACAATCCCCTTCTATTGAGGGATCCCTCAAACAATTTTATTTGAGGGACGCTCTTTAGGGTACCCTATAATTTTTTTTCCAATGATCCAAACCATTTATTTTTTAGGTCTTCATTCATAAATCATTCTTACAAAAAATTAGATAAATCAGAAACCGTTTCGACATCCAATTGTGTCCTATAAAATCAATGAACAAGGTGCTTTAAAAAAGTACTAAAACTTCAATAACTCAATTGAATGGTCAAATGATATCGGATTCAAGTGATTTTTTGTAGAGATGATCTTTGAATGAGTATCTACAAAATAGACAGTTTGGATTAGTGAAATACAATCTAGAGTGGGCCCTATAAGGGGTGTCCCTCAAATAAGCTTATTTGAGGGATCCCTCAATGGAAGCTCTCTGTATATATATATATATATATATTATTAGTCTTTGTTATATCTGCAATATTCCTAATGATCCACTTAGGAAAGTCTTTCCAGGAAAAAAAAAAAAAAAAACTTGGAAAAGTCTTGTAAAAAAGGACTGTGTGTGGAGAAAGGTTCAAGATTTTCAATTTTTTTTTTCTTAAAATCTTGACTGTGCGAGTATATTTAATAAAAATAAAATAAAAGAAATACAATCCAAAAAGAAATTAAGCAAAATCAAAATTAGGCAAACCAAATCAATCATAATCACACAAAAAATGATAAATACACGGGCAGTATCCTACCAGGTGAAAAAGATATCGAAGGTAAAATAGTTTGCCAAAGCAATTACCAGCCCACCTAAATCTAATCGAAGGTAAAGATACCAATGGAACGAAGCTTCAAATAAGTTGATTTTTAAAGTTAATCTTTGCTATATATCTGAAATAATCATCATGGATAGTTTAGTCAAAAAGGCAAAAAAGGTACTCCGTGTGGAAAAAATATCGTTGAACTTTTGTTTTGATCAAATGCAGGACAAAAGAGGCCACTCTTGTCCGAATGCAGAGGGGGACCGGACAGACATTTTAAAAGGCATGTCTTGTGGAAAAATTCTACAAGACATTGTCCATCAAATTTGGAAAGCAGTAATTTGAATAATCACCAGTGTTGACTGGTGAAATCAGCGGTCAACGTAAAACTTTGATCCTAGAGGGGTGGCAAGGTTACATGGATCAAAATGAAAATAAAGATTGGGATATGGAAGAACACAAAGTGAAGGTTTTTTTTTTTTTTTTGGGCGAAAGAAGAACTCAACACAAAGTGAAGTTGATGCTTTGATTGATCTTATCAAAATGATTCATACAAAGAGCGTGGAGCTCAAGAAATAGGAATTCGTTTGGTTCACGGAATGAATTTGAAGGGAAATCATTTCCCAAGAGATGAGAGATAAAAAATTCATTTCCCACGTTTGATAATGCTGGGAAGGTAATCGGGAAATAACACTTTATTTCCTTTCCCATGTTTGTTTTGAGTATGAATGGAAAATAAAGTTTTTATAAATTTTCAATTATACCCATATTAAATTAAATACAAAAATAATGCATTTAATGATATATTGTAATTTTAAATTGTTAATGGGGACAAAATGGTCATGAAAAATATGTGTTTAATGTTGGTTTATTTCCCCCCTACTTTCCCATAGGCTAGGCAACGATTTCTTATACCTGGATTTTCCAAACATGAGAAAGTAATTTATTTTTCCTCTCAAGTCTCCTTTTTCATAAACCAAACGGGCCTCTAAGTAAAAGGGAGATAGTCAGGCGCATGTGGTTTGCATGGGCTGGGGAAGCACAGCCCACTAGGCTGAAAGTAGCTTCTGGTAATCTATCCCTTCTGAGCAGGGGCCCAATAAGAGGATAATTCGTGGATGGTCATGAATGCTTTATACAGTTTCCTAAGGCGACGATGATCTTAATAGTCGCTTACCTCCGTCTTGTCATGTGTGAGACCCAATGGCATCTCCTCTCGTAAAGGCATGTCTTGTCCTAGAAATGGCCCATTGGTGATCAGATATGTGGACGTCTTCGATCATTTGCGGCTCCAAAGTCTCTGAGTGAGCCATCCCCCAGGTGGTTGACCTGGGCATTCCAAGGTATGTAGGAAGATACCTTGATTTCTCCTAACCATATAGGCCAACCTGAGGGTTCGATGTGGTGACAGCCATTGGCGGATCTAGTAAGGCGCAAGGAGCTGCACCTCCTCTAGTCGGAAAAACCATTATAAGTTTTTCAAATTGCCTTTTTGCTCAACTGTTGTACAGATTACCTTATTTTTATCTTCAACATTTAAGTAAATGTCTTTGTTCTTTTACTTTTATTTATTTTTATATTACTCTATTTACTTAAGTTTACAATGTAAATAAGGAAGTACCCCTCATTTGGATTCAAATAAAAATACTAGAAAATCAAATTCCCACCAAATCAAAATATAAAAATTCTGTTTTAGTGCAAAATATGATTTAGGCTAAAAATGATGGCTCATTAAGTCAATATATATTTCATACTAAAATCCCATAAAATCAAGTTTTCTTATTTGATGTGTAAGGAATAAAAGCCACCAAAAATTATCTTGAGAAAATGATTATTCCAAAAAATCATTTTTCATACTTAGTCAATATTGCATTTCTGCTAAAAAATTTATGGATCCACCAATGCTGTGTGGTTTTAGTGCTCGTCCCGTTCGAGTGGTCAATCATAAGGGTCCGCCTCAACTACTGTGGCTTGTGTGGGCTTTGAGTCCACATCGCGGTGGTTAATTCGGCTCGGTCCGTCCCTTAATCAACAACTACCATGTACAAATACATGGTACAAATAACCACTTTTTCTGTAGCACTTTGAGCCAATACAATAAGATTTTTGTAATTTAGCGTAGGCAAAGCAATAATTTAGATTCCTTGTCAAATTCCAATAATACCCATGTCGAAAAAATTATTTCAACTGTCACACCCCATACCTATATCCTCAAATAATTGGACTTTGAGCAAATATTCCAAAGCAAATTCAAAGAAATATTTCACTAAATTAGCGTTGGTATTTGTTGACCTGAATAATTATCAACATTTATTAATAATACAAATAATTAAATACCAGCCTAAGGCATGACCTAATGGCAACTGAACATCCTTCTGGGGTGAATAGATGGGATATAAATTCTCGGTTTGGGTTCTCTCTGCCATTATCTACTTGACTTTTACTCTGTGTATGGCACCTCATTAAAATTTAATCCAAAATGAAACCCACAAATGCCACATAAGCAAATAACAGATTTCCTAACAGACTCGCTAACGAATAAGGCAATCTGTAGGCTTTCCACAACGTTGAATATGTACCCATAAATGTCCCCAAAATCGGATGTGGACTCATAAATGACCATATAGGTTGGAGGTTTACTGTAGTTTACCTAATTTTTTATGTCCCATCATGTGAAAGAAACATGAACACCAATAGGAAAAACGAAATTTTTCCACCGGCATAAAATACCTTTTGAGTCTTTGACTATACTAATCCAAGTTGATTATCAGGACTTTTATTTATTTATTATCTCCATTTTTATCCTCACCTCTATACAAGATGGGTCTCCAAATGAAGCTGAATACCTGCACAAGGAGATGGCAACAAAACCCTTTACTGGTTCCTCTAGAAAAGTTTCTGAAACTCAAACAGAGCTCCCACGAAAAGAAACTGAAACAGTGCTCCCACAAAAAGAAACTGAATCAGAGCTCCCGCAAAACAGAACTAGTGAGGCAGAAAATAGTAATAACCAGACCTGGAACATTTGTGAGAACGTAATTACCGGAGCAGAAAGCAGAAACGTTGGGATTTTCAACTTCGGCAACGAATATCATGAAGGTGGTGCTGTCGATCATCATCAAGGAAGGAAGGGTCAAAACAAAACTGACTACAACATTGATGGCAACAAGATTGATTCAAAAGATGGGGAGTTTGTTGGGATCGGCAAATTTGGCAACAAGTACTACAACTCGAGGAAAGAAGAGGGAACGAGCAAGAAGCCATGGTATAAGTTTTGGTAAAAATAAACAAGAGAGAAAGTAAGGGAGGTGCGCTGCTGAATAAAGAAAGAGGCTGGAGTTCAGTTCCATGTTTGTTAGGTGGAGCACTTTGCTCTAGTTTTGCTTCTTTTCTTTCTTTTCTTTTTTTCTTTTTTTCTTTTTTTTTGGCTCTCCTTAGTTTGTTGTGTGACAGTTTATTACCCGAACTGATCTGACAATGAGTAATTATTTATTTACATTACGTACGGAGCTGTGTGGTTTTAGTGCTCGTCGGGTTCGAGTGGTCAGTCGTCCGCCTCAGCAAGTGTCTGAGTCCACATCGCAGCGCTAGTGGTTAATTCGGCCCAGTCAGTCTCCATGTCAACAACCAACAACCGCTTTTTCTGTAGCACTTTGAGCCAATACAATAAGATTTTGTAATTTAGTGTAGGCAAAGCAATAATTTAGATTCCTTGTCAAATTCCAATATTACCCATGTCGAAAAAATTATTTCAACTGTCACACCCCATGCCTATATCCTCAAATAACTGGACTTTGAGTAAATATTCCAAAGCAAATTCAAAGAAATATTTCACTAAATTACCGTTGGTATATATTTGTTGACCTGAAAAATTATTAACATTTATTAATAATAAAAATAATAAAATACCAGCCTAAGTTGTGAGTTAATAGCAACTGAACGTCCTTATGGGGTGCTAGTATTGCTAAACTGAGCATGGAGATGGCACAGAGAGGTAGAGCTGCTTCCTAAATAGATATAAGAATTTTTGAGCTTGTTTGTGTGTGTGAACACCCGTTTTAAAAATATATATGTATATTAGAAATCTGAACGATAAGGAAATTGTAGACTTATCTGCATTATTGTTAAGATTGGAATGTGTGGTATTGTTTTATCACAGAGATGATAGTAGAATTTGGAGTTTGGAGGCTTCATGAGCGTACTCATGCAAATCCTTTTTCAGGTACTTGTTGGGACTTCCCACTTCTTCGCTC